CCGCCCGTTCTCCCCTTCCCTCTCCCGCTCACGCCCACACACACTCTCCCCCACCCACACACACACACACACACACACACACACACACACACACACATGCACACGCCCACGCACCCACCCTCCCACCCACTTGCAGACACACCTCCACCCTGAGTTTTTTCCTTTCCTCGTGCGCTTGGAGATTTCAGAGCTTCACTGGAGGAAAAAATACACCAGCTAACTGGTCTCTTAAGTAACAACCAGGCTTTTATGGCGACAGATGTGATTCAAGTTGAAACTATGTTCCCGATGTTTTCACAAGGAGCCGACGTGTCATTTTTGATAAGCGACAGATGTGTGGAATCACTACAGGGCAGCATTATGTGTTTTTCAGGGATATTGTGTCATTTTATGACATAATCAAGTAACTAAATTCATTTATAAAAATATATATTGCTGTCTGAGACAAAATGCTATTTACAGTTAAGAGACCGCTTTAAATTATCTCTGATTTGACTTTTTATAGGTACATGTTTGAGTAAAATGAGCATTGTTCTTTTATTCTATGAACCACTGACATGTCTCTGAAATTCCAAGCAAACATTTAGTATTTATTTGCAGAAAATGAGAAATGGTCAAAATAACAAAAAAGATGCATTACTTTCAGAGCACAAATAATGCAAAGAAAACAAGTTCATATTCATTTAGAAACAACAATACTAATGTTTTAACTCATGAAGAGTTCAGAAATCAATACTTGGTCGATGAACCATGAGGTCTTCAATGGGGTTCAGTGCAGTGGTCTCAATTTTTTCCAAAACTGTGTATCAAATACAACTTAAAAGAAATTTGACTTTGTGATTTAACGTCTTGAAACTCTGTCTCTTTAAAACCTCTGCCTTAGGAAGTTTTCACATCCTCTGTTAAGCCCTTACTAAACATAGTATTTACTGGAAAAATACACCTTACAAAATGAGAAATGCTAAAACAGACACATAGCTGAAGGCAGTTTAGGCCATAAATGCCACCAACTGCTCAACCGTGCAACTCTAAATAAAAATCTGAACTAATTTAAGGTTTTGGGTGTAAAGTTGTAATAAAAAAGAAAAAGGTCTAAATGTTGTTTCATGTTGTGTCTTACTACCTATTTAAGCTCCATTGCTTCATTCATATCCAGCCACAGGATGTCTAGACGAACGGCAGAAAGAACGCAGCTTCTAAATCGATCCATCCATTATGAGGCAGAATTTCAAAGTAACACTAGATTCCTGAATGTCAGGACCAGCCATGTTTCCCAGCGCTGGGCGGGCTGGAAACCAATCCAGCTAGGCTATAAATAGACGCAGACAGACAGTGAGATAGATGAACGTGTTAGCGTAGCAGCAGGATGGACTCCAGGTGGCCGGGAAGCAGGGATGTACTGTAAAAACTCAGATTCAGCTTTCACATTCCTGGACTCGGCCGCATGTTTTCCGTCCACCTTGTGAATGACTGAGGCTGGAAGGATTTTACTGTAATGGATAATAGCTGTTAAACAGTTTATTCCAAAGAACTGGGAGAAAAATAAGATGTTTTCTTTAGTTAAATTAGTAATGATGCTGTGCTTCAGAATGACAAACCT